CAAGGGATAATAGTCCCACCCTCTTGTGTTCCGACCTGTATCCCATCTTTGCCACCTTCGGTTACAAGAATGTTGTGTTGTTCATCCAGGCAGACATCAACCGAACCGTCAAGCTCTCCTTTTGCTGCCTCATATTTTCCAAATGTTTTTAGAACAGTCCCTGTCTAGACATGTACTTGTTGTATTCTATGGTTTCCGTGATCGGTAACCACAATCTCGTTATCATTTAATTATGCAAAACACGCAAAACGTGGGGAGACATGATATAGTTTTGGGTTGGTTGTAGGTCTCGACACAAATCGAGCAAGTAGTGTCTTCCTTGAGATTTCCCAGATGTAAAAAGTCCAAGAAGTGACTGGTAAAGAAAGTCCTCGCTACATTTAGGAGACATGGAACTCGATAATCATTTAGCAAAGACTTGAAGGCAGACAAGCAAAGTGAAGTCCTCTGAGTACCAACCTGGGAAAGATGACATCGCCGCTCAGTCATCCACGTGCGGTACGAGCGCTACAGTATTCTCGTGTAATGTGTCTTTACCTCCGAAACTAGATATGCGCTGCGGAAATCTCTCCAAAGAGTGAAAACAGTGGCAACAGGTATGAGATGCTTAAAAAGAAGTCACCGACCTACGAAACAAGACGAGGCGGCCTTCGAGTAGCTACGTTTATCACGTGCATCAGCAGGGAAGTCCTCGAAGTCCACAATGGTCTCCCGTCTCAAAGCGATGAAGACAAAGCGGACATAGACAAAGTACTGGCATGGAGTTGTGGGAAAATCACTGCCTCGGGAAAACAAGCAGCAGGTTTTTTATTACAGAACAGCTCACCTCCAAGAGTCTCCATACATGAAGTTCCAGTTGTTGTCCTCGTATTTCTAATTTATCACTCGTTCCTTTCAATTTTCCTGCCTGCATTGGCCTCCGTAAAGTCTCACCCGGATGGTCCTTCAAAATTGAAATAATAATAATAAGAAGAAATATGTTAAACACGACAGACGAGGCCTTAACACATTTGAAAACACCAGGCGATTTCGCTCCCAGGGCATTTCCTTTAGAAACGAGCAGCCGGCTCCCAATTTCTAACGGAAAAGTCCTGAAAACGAGGTTAAACAGAAGGACGAGAGTTGAAAAAAAAATGGCGGCGAAATGTTTTTGACAACCTTTGAGAACTTTGGAAATGTGTTAAAACACTGCTTAGAATATGGAAATTCTTACGTAGCTCTTACCTTTAATTCTAATCGTTTGCTCATAAGTCCCTTTGAAAGATGCAGTTCCACTGATATCAACATCTCGTTGGATAAAATAGCCATGCGCGCCAGCATCTGCCGTGTGTCCCCGAAATTTTCGTCCAGCGGTAATGGTGCATGAGAACGAATGGCATGCGCTTCTTGACTTAGATCTAAAAACGGACAAAAAGTGACTTGCTGAAAACCAAACATATTGAAAAAAGACTTAGAAAATATGCTGTTTGTAGTTACGTGTAATGCACTAAATCCAAACAAACAGTTTTAAATAAATGTACTTTTTCACTGGCTAATCATCGTTCTTTTCCAAACGTTCTAGATTTCGTTCATGTGGCCTCCCTCTCGAGTTACCATCTGAGTTCTGACTGGTTTAACACTATTGAGCAGTTTCCAACCAATCAAAACGGCCAATCACAAGAAACGGAAACAACCCAATGAACAAATGAGATCACCAAGCAAACACAAGTAAACGGTGCCAAGCGCGGGGATTTGTTTTCATTTCGCATTTGATTGGTTGAGAAGGTGGCAAGACCTTTTCTAAAACCAAGTGTAAAATAATTAGTTAACTATATTTTGCCCTTTTTACTTTCCTTTCAATGCACTTTATTTTAACACTACTGTATTCAAATCGTCTACCATGAGAAATCAGAAATACCAAAAATACATATCAAAAGCAACAATAATACCACAGAATAAAGCAATACCGAATTACTTTTCCGGCTCAATTTTTTAACAAGAGTAAAACCAAACTCAATAGACTTTTCCCGCGGTTGCCATCTATTTGAACTTCAGCTTCAAATTGGCATCGGTCTAATGTCTTTTTTTTACTTGCAATCGTTTTCGATTATAACTCTCGCTGCTTTATACGGATTTATCGCACTTAACTGGATCGGAAGTCATTTTATATCTGCGATAACAGATAACTTGGTTAATTACGATTGAGAGTCAAAATCTTTGTATAATATGAAGGAAATAACCACGTAAACAAGACTATATTTAAAACCCAAACGAGCCAGGTTGAAATCAACTGAAACCAAGATCTCCAGCTGAAACTAAGAATTAAATGTATAGTTGTGTTAAAATTAAGAAACTAACCATTATCTTGAGGTAGGTATGGAAAACGTAATCTTAAGTTGAAAATATTATTGCATTAATATTGAGCGAAAGGCCGTAAGACACATTGACAACTGATTTAATGAAAATGAAATACAGCAAAATGAGTTGATACTGGCCCTTCAGTTTGTACAAGCCACGACGAAGTGGCTGTACAAACGACAAGATTATGTAAAAACTGAACCAACTTACGTTCTCTTTCCAGTAGTGTTGAGACAGTGTCCTTGAATCTGTTGAGAGCCCGCAGCAACAGCAAAGATTCTTTGTGAATGTTTTGCACGTCTTTTTTGTGATCTTGTTCCAGTCGTCTTAATTCAGCCTGGTGTCGCTGAGTTTCTTTACTCATATGATCTTTCATGCTCAGCAGCTCGGCTTCGTATTGTTGTTTTACTTTTGCCACCATTTGACGCGCGGTCTGCGGCTCCAAACCCAACTGAAGTGAGGTCTTTCTGCGTTCGCGCCGCGGTCCACCCGCCATGCTCGCGATACTCATTGTCGCAGGGGTATTGGGAAAGGACATCATTCGTTCCTCGAGACATTGGATTTCTTCCATGAACTGTCCGAGTCTCTCCTCTTGGTATTTGATCATTTCCTCGTTGCATTCTAACTCGCCTGTCATCCTATTAAAATAACAAAAGTCACCACAAAGCAGTTAAAAATATTACAATTTATTTAAAGCAAAAGGGCCTGAAAATGCTCAGCCAAGGTCCTTGTTGTCGATAACAGGTCGAGTCATGTTAATCTAGTACTGGGATCTGCTTATATAATGTGCTCTTGGATTTAGCACTTATTTTCTATTTTATTTCGCTTTGACTTAAGTGTACGCTTTCTTATAGTGTTTTTTTTATTCCCATTGAGGAGCATTTTGATTTCAACTTTGCAAGTAAAGGTTGTTTCTCGCTTATTCTAGGTGTATATGGCGGTCTAAAATTAAAAGAATTGTTCGTGTTTGTTAGCTGAGTTAAGTTTGGAGAGCAGTCGAGAAGGTGGAAACGATCGGAGTTCACTTTAATTCTGCTCGGCTCGGCTTGCTTTTCTAAAGGTGGTTTTATCAGTCTATCACAGTGGGAAATACAGAAATAAGTCATGATGACCTTTTGTTTTGCCTTTCCATGTCTTCTAACTTCTGAGTCAACTCTTCCATTGCTCTTTCATTTTCCCGTTTAACATCCTCCAGTTGTATCTCAAGCTCGCTCCGTTCTTGTTCAACTTTCACTTTGTCTGTTTGTAGCGTCATAAATTCCTGCTCGAAAGCCGCGAATTTTTCCTTCTCAATTTTCAGCTCCTCCTGCGCTCTTTCCAAACTTTCTTTCAGTTCTTTGCTGCCTTCATCGCTAGTCTTGGACGCTTCTACGGTCGTAGAATCGCTCTGAGAATCACCAGGGACAGCAATGTGAGCTTTGGATGACTTTGGTGTCTTGATCAAGACTTTTTCTCCTGTTGGGCCGAGATGTTGTGACGGTTTTTCAACGAGGCTCACAACTGACATACTTTCCTCGCTGTCTTTCAAACTTGCCGTGGATTCACTGCTACTTCGATATAATCCATAAGACTCCTTCTTCTTGTACTCATCTAACTTTTCGTTAAGCTCGTCAATGACCTTTTGTTGTTCTTTCTGTCAAATAACACATAAAATAAATGCATTTAGTTTTAAGCCTTGGTTATTGATAAAAAAAATGAAATAAATGAAATCTCTATAGTTTGCAATCTGTTGCTCGAGCATGTCATTTAGGATTAGGATTTGATCTTTAACTGAACAGCGGCTACACTACGCTGGAGAAATTTGAAAACGCAACTTTATTTGTACGGTTAAGCCTTCCGTCCACACGATTTAACAGAGAAAAGCCACCTCGTGGNCTTTCTGTCAAATAACACATAAAATAAATGCATTTAGTTTTAAGCCTTGGTTATTGATAAAAAAAATGAATAAATGAAATCTCTATAGTTTGCATTCTGTTGCTCGAGCATGTCATTTAGGATTAGGATTTAATCTTTAACTGAACAGCGGCTACACTACGCTGGAGAAATTTGAAAACGCAACTTTATTTGTATGGTTAAGCCTTCCGTCCACACGATTTAACAGAGAAGAGCCACCTTGTGGATCTGTTAAATAAACCTTTATTACTATTGTTATTATTATTATTATTATTATCATTATTATTATTATTATTATTATTATCATTATTATTATTATTATCATTGTTGTTGCTGTTGTTGTTGCTGTTGTTAATCCGTCAAGAAAATGGAGCTTTTCGGAAACGATGACATACAGTAACTGTAATCAGATGATTTCTCTGACCCATTTTTCCTCAAGCACAAATCCAAACTGACCGGTGATTGTTGCGATTCTAAATTTCTCCGGAGTAGTGTGGACGGAAACCACTTGCTGCATTTTTAGAGTAAAACCTTCGTTTCCAAATTCCTCCGACGTAGAATTGAGATTCCTTTGTTACTTCAATCATGATAACTGTTGGCTGCGTGTTGCGAACTGTTTGTGCTAAAGGTTGAAAATGTCTATCGTCAGAAACTAAATAGCCAAATACACCAGTTGAAGGATATGTCATGGCGATTTGCCGCAAGGGCTTTTCAACCTGTCTTCTCGTTCGGTTTTCCTGGCGAAAAATCCCTTCTAAACGGTGCAAGGAACAGACAAAGAGCAATAGTCTTAGAAACGTGCGTGAGAGGGTTACGCGCGGGGAGTACGGAGGTTAAGTATTACACGCGAGGAGTTCTTTTTCCTTCGTGCGCGTGTCCCTTCACACACGTGTCTCCTGCAATTTGCGCTCTTTATTTTCGTTAGCGCCTGGTACGTTTCCATGATTCACCAACCACGTTGTTTTGTAGGTCTTCATTCCGGTGTTGAAGTCTTTCTGCTTTTACTTGCGCTTTTTTGTTGGTTTTTCTCAATTCGTCACTTTGTCTCTTCGCTTTAACGAGTTCTCCCTCAAGATTGATAGCTTTTTCATCAAGCTGAAAAACAAGTTGAAAAGATATCGAGTAAAATGACTATAGATGAAAGACCATTGCAGTTACGCGCGCAACCAACATTCAGTTTGACCTATAAACTTGTTGTAAAATGTTAAATTTTGAATGTTTATAGTGGTCGATGCACTTAGCTACAACTAGCTAGTTCTCACAGAATGCCACTTAAACTGAAAGAAGGAAATATTTCAAATATACATGGTAGGCTCAAGAATCCCAACTAGCGGGAGGCAGACCAGGTGGCTATTTACAAGCATGACCGAGGAGTTGAACTGGGACCATACCGAGAAACAACTCCAGCTTAGTGGTCAGAGCGGGACTTGAACCCGCAACCTCCAGATTTTAGGTCCGGGGCCCTAACCACTCGGTCACGCTGCCTCCCTAGAGCTAGATTTGATCTCGACATCTGCGATACTGGTGCAGTGCTCTACCAGAATAGCTAAAAACTAGCAGGGAGCCGGTCTCTTTGTGAGTTCGTGACATCCCGTAGGAGATGAAAAAGTGAGAGAGAACTTATGAAATATCATATCTGTTATTTCGTGTAGGGCGGTTTTCACTTGAGTGTAGAATGTAAATTGCATTTGCATAGAGTCTTCGTTTTACAACACCAAATTGAAATCACTCTAAGCAGGGGCGGATCCGGGATTTCTCTTAGGTGAGGGAAGGAATGACGTAGTTTTATTTTTTTATTTTTTTGCAGAATACCAGTTGTTTTAAAAAGCCGCAGGTCATCCCAAGAAGGGGGGTGCGCACCCCCTGCACCCTCCCCCTTGATCCGCCCCTGCTATACCACGCAATTGGTTTGAAGAACAAGCGTCACTTTGTCATCCAATCACTGAAACCAATCGTGACTCGCACGCACGCACGCGTTTTTTCTCGCGCTCTGCATCAGCATCATGTATTTGCTTGGAACTTTGATTGGCGTAATGGATTCTCTGTGTCTTTTATAATATAATTGGCCATTGTGATTACTTTGGTTTGGGTCTTACGACACCAAGAGAGGTTGATCTAAAAATCTCAAATCACCCTCTCTGGTCGACACCCAATTAAAAAACACTTTAGTGATACTTGATATATTCACCTCCAGAGTTCAAATCGGTTTGAACAAATGCCCAAGTAGTTCTTTTTTTTTTTTTTTTTTNCAACCACCCAATCTGTAAATTTAAACTCCATGTGATAAGGCTGCTTTATTTAGAGCACTTCTCAACTAAGAATCAAGCATTCAAAAGCCAAAGTATTTATACTTTGGCCAATCACAAAGGACGCAGACAAACCAGTGAAACAAGAAAATACGTGAGGCCGGTGCTAAGCGCGGGAAAAGTTGTGGGAACGCCGCTCCTGATTGATGTTGATCTTCTTTCTGATTGGTTGAGAAAGTGGCGGGAGTTTTTCAACCAATCGCTAGCCAAAGTAGTGCACTACCAAGGCAAACGCGGAAACCACTGTAATGTCCTCAATACA